AATATATGCATTGTGCGTACCACTTCCTTGTTGCAAAACCGATAAAAGAAAAATCTATTGGGAAATACAGAAATCCTGCAGATAAGTTTTGTTGTCAAATTGGGTACAAGCAGTGAGTACAAGTGAGATGCTGTTTCAATTATTCAACTTGAAGCGTATTCCCAGTAGGTACAGATGTGTGCCGTAAAGTTAGCATCACTGCTGGCGCAACAACTTATTTTTAACAATACTTAAGGATTAATTCACAGTGAACAAATTATTACAGCAAAAGTGGTTAACTGACAAGTTTCACCACGTACTTTTGCAATGGTTGCCAAAAAATTTATAACATTTTTGTTTCTGTAAATTTTTTGTGGAATTTTTATCTTTCACTTTGTCTCTTCACAGTATGCGTCTTTCTTCAGGATATTAAGCATAAAAAGAGACCGTTCCTCAAATAACTTTCTTCATTCTGATGATATTTCAATTTTCTAATAAAGAAAGCATTGTTGTTTGCAATTAAGGTGCAATAAAATATTGCAGTTTGTTAAAAATTTAAAGATGTAATCCATTCTAAAATTTTGTAACGTATGACGCTTTCTAATTTTTCAAAATATTGAGAAAAGTTTTAACATCACTTTTAACGGTAAACTGACACAGTTTTATGGTTTGTTAATTAGTTTATCGATTTCAGGGTGTAAAAATGTCCTTAATTTACAAAAGTTGGTTTGGAATGCATCTTATAACTTTATTTGTAATGTAAAATGGCATATGGGGATTGTAATATTTTTAAAATACAAGACAAGAAATTATTAAATTATAAAATTATCAAAATTATAAGTATAATAGTGATATACAAAAACAAACTACTAATTCTACTTTCCGTAATAGTAATTGTTTATTTACTACAGAAGAATCACTCTGCAAAAACATACAAAAAAAAGATCGGGACGGCAGACAGACGGACAGACAGACAGACAGACACACAGAGAGAGACAGAGAGACGGACAGATAGACAGACGGAAACGGGAGACCCATTTCTTCGTACTCTAGGGTCATGAAAGGTCGAGAAAATGAAAAGTAGAGAATCGGCCGACGTAGTTGATTATAATACTTCTTTCGCTTATGCGTGGGAAGTAAAAAAAATTGGTCTAAAGAGTTTAGACAGTACTTCCCTCGTTGTCGGAAACGTGACGACTGCATGTCTATTATGTTTTTTTTTCGCAGTGGATTTCATTTTTTTTTTTTGAGTCACCCGGTATATGCAAATTCAAAAAATATGAATGGAATGATAAATTACAAGTACAGACTCATCATATTTTGTATATTCTAGATAGGATTTATTCGGCAAACTTTTGACCTGACGTCATCAGTTTTTTGTAGAAGATAACCAAATATATTTTGACTAAAAATTTATTATGCTCTTTATAACCTTAAAACATTTGCAAGATTTCAAAACATTCGGTTCTGGAGTTCCTGATTAAATCAATAAAATACATTTACCCATTCATTAATCTTTTTGGGTCACCCTGTATATGCACATCCAAAAAATATGAATGGAGTGATAAATTACAAGTACAGACTCATCATATTTTGTACAGTTTAGATAGGATTTATTCGGCAAACTTTCGAGCTGACGTCATCAATTTTTTGGAGGGGATCAGCAAAAATATTTTTACTAAACACTTATTATGCTCTTTATAACCTTAAAACATCTGCAAGATTTTAAAGCATTCGGTTTTGTAGTTCCTGATTAAGTCAATAAAATAAATTCACGCATTTATTAATTTTTTTGAGTCACCCTGTATATGGAAATCGACAAAATTTGAATGGAATGATAAATGACAAGAAGAGACTCACCATATTTTGTACATTTTAGATAGGATTTATTCGGCAAAATTTTGTAGTGACGTCATAAATTTTTTAGGGGGGATGAGCAAATACATTTTGATCAAAAACTTACCATGCTTATGATAACTTTAAAACACCTTCAAGATTTCAAAGTATTCGGTTTTGTAGTTCCTGAGTAAATCAGTAAAATAAATTTACGCATTCATTAATTTTTTTGAGTCACCCTGTATATGCAAATCTCAAAAATATGAATGGAGTGATATATCACAAGCACAGACTCATCATATTTTGTACATTTTACATAGGAAAATTTTTGTACATTTTTTTTAATATGTGTAATTTTGTACATTTTACATAGGAAAATTTACATACTGCTTGAAAGTATCACATTATTGTTTAATTTAGTTTTATTTAATTTACTGTTTTACCATATTATTATTTTTATTATTTCGTTAATTCTTGTGTTGTTACTTTAACTTAATTTGTCCTCTAAATGGAAATTCTGTTGGGCAATAAAGACATTATTATTATTATTATTATTATTATTATTATTATTATAGGATTTATTTGGCAAACTTTTGAGCTGACGTCATCAAGTTTTTGGAGGGGATAACCAAATATATTTTGAGTAAAGATTTATGATGCTCTTTATAGCCTTAAAACATCTGCAACATTTCAAAACATTCGGATTAGCAGATTCAAAATTAAATTGCAAAATGTTGTTTTATAATTTTGATTTTTTTTCCAAAAATCTGGATGTTTCGGGTAAAAACTCAATTCGGAGTCGTAAACTACATGTTTAGGATTATATTATTTTATACAATTTAAAACCCATTTACTATGAAATGACCTCATCACATTAGTGGTGGGGATGATTAGACAAATTTTGGTTAGCGTTTTACCATCTACATGATTTTCCTAATATAACTACAAAATTTCACAACAATCGGTCCAGTACTTTCGGAGATTATCTGTCTAATAAAAATCCGGGAGGGCAGACAGACGGACAGACAGACGGAAATGGGAGACCTATTTCTTCGTTTTCTAGGGGTCATGAAAGATCGAGAAAACGTAAAAGTAGAGAGTCGGCCGACGGACTCGATTACAATACTTCCTTTGCTTACGCTCGGGAAGTAATAATGTCTTGATAGATTTTACGAAGAACTAGACCATCGTTACAGAGCAATTAATGATATTTTCGCAACATTTAGTGTTGTTTATATCATCCGTTGACGTTGCTGTTGAAATTTGGCACGCCATTCGAGATGACCAACTTTTAACTTTCGCCGTTACGTTCCCGTTGACGTTGCGCTTTCAACCAATCAAACTGTGGTAGTGTGCAGTGCTGCCAATTGAAGGAAAACTCCCTGAAGTACGGGGTTTTTCTGGTTGACAGCTGTTAGATATCATCTCGCCCTGCGCAGGCGTGAGCGGTAGAGGGGAAAGCTGCACCCCTTCAAAAACATTGTAAACCATTAGCGAGCTAGAAAGTAAGAGGAGAACAAGTCTCCAAATAAACATATTTCATAACTAACCCACAATTTTATTCACAATTGAGTTACCCTTAAATGCATGGGTAACTGGGAATCATATTCCCCAACAACAGCACTAATTGCACGAAAATCAGATTTTGATAAAGAAAATGAGCCCACTAATATCAGGCCATTTAATCACCTGTTTACCGAAATCCTCATATTTTAAATAGCTGTAAAACATGTTTAAAATGGTGAATTGTTGTAAGAAAGAATCGATGTTGCAATTAGGCTCCGCCCGTCGGTCTGACAACGAATGAAAAATTCATCACGGTTGAGATCGAGACGGATGGGTGGGACTACTCTTTTGGTTTTCTTTTTTAATTAATGCATTTAGTTTTCTTTGCATAGCACGATTACTGAAGAACATATTTCACATGGTAATTTCTCCTATAAAAATAAGGATTTTACTATTAAGCTCCCCCTCGGCTTACAACGAATAAAAAAAATCATCAGAATTGAGATAGGGTGGGTAGGCGGGGCTACATTTTGTCTTTTTTTTTCTTAATGTACATAGGCATTTTTTCATAACAAGAAACTTAAAACATGGTTAAAATGGTTTTTGCACGGAAATATGGAGAGGAGCCTAATTGCAAAATCGATATTTCCTTATACAAATCTATTTTAAACATGTTTTAAGTTTCATGTTGTGAAAAGAAGTCTACACATATTAAAACAAAAAGGCAAAATGTAAGCCCGCCCACCCGCCCTGTTTCAATTGTGATGATTTTTTTTTATTCACCGTGAACCAAGGGGACCGAGCTTAACTGCAAAGTACTTATTTCTTTACAAGAAATTGAAAATGATTATGATGTTGGTCAAAGAATACTATGTATATTAAGAAAAACACACGTTTAAAATGGTAAATTTTTGTAAGGAAATATGAAATTTGCAATTAGGCTCCGCCCCTAGGTCTGCCAACGAACGAAAACTTCATTACTATTTAGATCTGGGCAGTTAGGTGTGGGGCTTAACCTTTTCTTAATATACATATTATTTTTTGAATAACACTATGCTCAAAAAATGTCTTACATTGTAATTTCTTGTAGGGAGAGAAATAATAAGAATTTTGCATTTAAATTCCCCTTCTCTAGACGAATATAAAAAAAAAAAACATCACAATTAAGAGGGCGGGTGGGCGGGGCTTATATTTTGACTTTTTTTCTTAGTATGTGTAGACTTATTTCGACAACAAGGAGCTTAAAACATGTCTAAAATGGTAAATTTTTGTAGTAATCAATTGAAATCCTCCCCTTTTCTTCTACAACCCCTCTAAATACGGCAAAAGTTGAACATCAAAGTTGCTATCAACGGAGTTATAAATTGCAATTTTCAGCTCTAAAAGCAACGTCAGCGGGAACATCAACTGCCACCTTTATTGGCATATCTGAAAGCCAGAACTGTTGCTGAACTACGTCGAAGAGAGTGGCTGGTGTATCTTTCAAGTTCCGGAAGTCCCAAAAACTACTGTCTGAGTACAACATTGTCCCCAATTGTAGAAAACAAAAAAGTTGTCGAGTATGCTTCGGTCTCAGATTTTTTTATTTCATCACAATATCAACATAATTAACTGAACTCTCAGGGATATTAATAAAAAAAATCGGGATTTATAAATTTTTGTGTAATTAATTGTCACTATTATGATATTTTCCTCTATTTTAATATCTATTTACAGATAAACTGTAAATTTCATGGACACTACCTAAAAAAAACAGTAAACGTCAGGCACGTAGTCTTGACATCGACTTATTCTTACCTTGCACATTAAAAATTGATCATCCTCTGCGTCCTGAAAAAAAATTTTCAGGTTATCACTTGTCAAAACTTTTGTACATATGTAACTTACCATAACATGTTAAATCTATGTTCTTGTTGATATTGATCACACATCGTAGCATCGAATAATATACCCACAGAGATGAACAACTGGACTAAAAATCAATTAAATATACATAATAAAATAAAACTCCAATTAACTGCAATATTAATAAACTTACAACTTGTTCAAAATACGCCAGAAGAACATTTTCATTAACTATTTTTGCACAATTATTAATTTGCTGCCAGTTTTAGACGTCACTATAACATTTTTCGTATCCTATTTTCGACTCGGTTGGAATAAGAGCTTGAAGAGCCTCTTCAACACCACACTCCCACCACTTTCTAGGTAAATAGCTCCAGTAGTTTTATTCATTTTAGAAAGTATTAAAATATTTGAAAATAATCTTTTTCTTGATAAAAACACTATACCAACCAACTTGCATTACGACTTTGAAAAAATTTCAGTAATTGACTTTTAGATGTCTTACAATCCTCGCTCTAGCTGTAATAAAAGCCATAACATTCCTGGGTATGCTATTAACTATACCCTTTTTACTGTTAGATATTTTATCCTGTATCCTCATACTCTTGATAACATGCCTTGTTAAGCTTCCACAAGCTTGATACATACCTGTTTTAACTTTGCTGCGTTTTTCATTGGAAGGACTAATTTTTCCACTGCCACATTTTTTATTTCAATAGTTACCTACAAATCTAAGGCAAGTTTGTAACACTGCACAGCAAACATTACAGTTGTTCCGCCTGTTCTATAAAAAGTCGCAGCTAAATGCAGATAAGCAAAACCGCAAAACATAACCTCACTGTTATACACTGATCTGTAATAAATATGTCCGGTATTGACATTTGTCATTTTCAAAACAGTGAAGCCAACCGCACGACTTATTTAATAGCTTACTGCAAATAAAAAAATTTTGATGGCACGGTAAAATACTTTTAAATTTTGGACAATAACTACAAAATATATGACATGGTTATGCTTTTTATCAAAGCTAATGCCAAAATAAACTTTAATTTAAAAAATTGACATGTAGGTGTAGGTCGTGATGCGGGAAAAATTTGGTTTTGATAAATTTTTGGTTTGTTGTTGATTGTTAGATAACAAATAAGTACAAGTTCTTAGTAAATATAAAGGTAGGTAGTTTACTAATATTGACAAAATAAAATCCAAGTTTAATAAAGTGTTGAACAGTATTAAATAACTTTGAATTAAAATCTAAGTAAAAAATAGGTGTTAATCACGATCGTTATAATGTTTTCGTGACATAAAACTAAACATCTTTACCTTTCCAATATGGAAAGAAATTGACAAATTAAAGTTTTCTCATTAAGACATATTTACTCAAGAGTGACGTGTTCACTACTTAACTGGAGCGCTGCATATTGACCCCAATTTAATTCAGTTTCTGATCTGAATTAAAGGTTAAGTTCACCATTTCTAGATTACAGACAATAAATCCTACTTGTTATCAATAATACGTCATTTGGTAGTTACGTTGAAAAACTTCCACATCTTGTGACAGTTCCAATAAAACAACCTAAAAACTTGCTTTAAACTTTATTTTGTTGGATGACTAAAGTCATTACATAAAATAAGAGTAACACAGTAACAAACATTGAATTTTCATAATGCACATGATGGTCCAAAAAAGTTTACAGAAGCCCTAGTGCTGCCCTTACTTAAAAAAAAAGAAGAAAATAATAAGAATGTGAGATACTAAGTGTACATGGTGGCTACCACAGCCCAAAAACCTCCCAAACAATAGTTAAAGCTATTTTGGACCATCTGTATCTTACAATAACTCCATAAAGCTCTTAACGTAGTAAATAAATGGATCAAAATATTAACAGAAAACATCGATTTCCTTGTATGTGTAAATTGCCTGCCTGATTTAAGTCAATTTAAGCACTCATTTACGTTTGCCTTGTAAGTGTTTCACTGCAATGATAATAATTAATTATTGTTAAAACAAATTCACTACACAACAGCAAACGCTACATTTTATTACTTTTTAGAATCTAATGAAAGGTACATCATTCTTGTGCTTACAGTATTATGCTCTAACTTGATAAAAAGAAAGAATGGATCACTTGCAAGGATTTACATTATTTCGAAAAAATTCGAAAAAAATAAAAAAATATATAAAAGTATTCCTAAATAATTTATTTCCGTAAAATACAAGAATAAATTGTGAAAACAAAACCCTACTATAATACAATGTTATCCAAAATATCGACACCTCGATGGAAAGTAAAAGGAATAATAAATTCGAAAATAGGGGACAGCTACACGATAATTTTAATAATACACTTAATAGTAAAGAATTCGCTTGTAGATATATCAAATAAAAATTGATATGCGCAGTGTTGAATAATCATTAAAACCTAGCCGCTGTTGTTACATAAACCTACATAAATTACTCAAGAAATATTAGAGCACTTTTACAATAATTTTAAAAAGAATAAAATAACAAAAGCAATGTTGCCTGATAAGAAACGTGGAATATCACAAACGTCGTACGGCATAATTATTGTGATCATTGTTAAGTATACAGCGATGAGTTTTCGGAAAATCGTTCATTTCAATTGGCATCATCAAATAAATAACATCCTTACATCTAAAAAGGATAACAAATATGTAAAGACTGTTTCATTTTGTTTGGTTCATATTACTTAGTTTTTTAATAAAAATATATGCGCCCTGTCACACTATCAACATATTCGTTACTTAAAAATATATCTCGAATGAAACAGCAAGTCATAATTTAATAATGAGATCCTTCAAAAATGGATTGTGTATTTAAAATCCTTAAAAATTCAGTGATTAATAATTTTTTTGTCAAAAAAGCGTCTTTTCTTTGTGCACAGAGGAAGAAGGGGTTGTAATACGGATTTACATACCTAATAAATACCATTGCTAAATTATGACTTCTTAGGTGAATTATTATTAATAAATAATATTCTACTTAATTGTCTATTTGTCTGGGACTTTTTTTTTTCAGAATACCAGCAGAACAGCTTTAAAAATTGAAAATCCTCCGTACACCCACTTCCTCCACACCATTATATTCCGAGGGACTAAGCGAAATACATGACCTTTTTGGTGTCGGCGTGCACCGTTATCGCTCTTGCCATGGCTCCTGGAGTTCGATCCTCGGAAGAACCAGATTGGTGCGATCCCTCTCCGCTAGAAATAAAACACAAATGATAATTTCACGCCCTATTATAAATAGTGGAGCAATAAGGCAATTATTGGAAGTGATACTCCGCCACTGCCTTTGATTCGAACGTATTATGTTCCGAAAACAAACTTTGATTTGTTTATATTTGATTTGGCACAGAGTGTCTCCGTCCGACTCCTATGAATAAAATACTTGTTCACAACTTTAATCCCAATCACTAATAAATAAATAGTGACAGCTGTCGGATATCGGGACTGAGAGTTGTTTACTTCTTTTCAAAGAGAAAATTAATTTAATTAAACCCTTACCTGTCATGCTCCTTCTCGACCAAATGGTATCTTGCACGGAAAGCTACCAAATGGGCGTAATAAGCTGGAGCCGGTATGGAAACAGAACGGGTACAACGGACGTAAGTGTGACAGAGCTGATAAGTCAGGCATTGTAGTTCATCTGAATCCAAGTGAGAGTCGTCCCACAATACATGATAATGCGATGGTCTCGATGTTCCCTAAACAAAATAATTACCTGATTGTAGATTTTCAACAGTAAATATCGCATCATAATATTTATTATTAGTATTACATTTTAACCAACTGGGTGTCACTGATAAATGTTAAATCGCGGTCAATTTTTTTTTCCCTTAGGGATAGAAATTATTTGCACCGATCAACAACAACAAAAGTTTTTTGTTGCTAATTGTGAGTACCCACACAGCCTTATGTAACTCAATGTAACAAATCATACTTCCTTCAATGTTTCAATTTTCAAACAATTTAAAAGTTTCACAATTCGGGATCTTGGAGCGTTTAAACTTTGTGTACAGAATCACCCACCGACGACAAACACTGCTTTTGTCTCAAAATGGTTTAATTTTGTCACGACACCACGAACACGTTAGCAAAGACCCGACTTAATACTGTGCAAACAGCATACGATTAGAAAAATATTCGACCATCGAGTAAACACTTGAGTCGCTGTATGTTCATCGCACGTTATAGATGCAAAAATTGTTCAGACCGGCTTTTTAGTGGTCGATCCGGCACGAAATGGTAGAGTAGGCACCATTTTTTGTCGTTAAGAATTTGTATATTAACAAATGTAAATATATTTAACGAATTATGCAATATGATGGATGTACGTATCACAATACTATGCAGTAATGTACAACCCATTATTATGTGTACTTATTTTTTAATAATCTCGTAATTTAGCAGTCTTGATCATATACGGCGCCGTATATTACGTTACTTTCCTACATTTTTTTCCACATTATTGTCAAAAATCGAATTTAAACTTTCCTCAATTATTGAAAACGTAAGTTCAGCATTTTTTTTTATTTGAAACATGGCAGTCAATCACATATGGTTGATTTGCTTCTGGTGGATGAATACACCAATTACAAACACTTCCTACACAACGCCCTAAAATATACACTATTGTTTGGTCTGCCGAGGCCCACTTGTAGTTGGAGCCAATTTAGGATGTAATTGTTTTCATTATTTATTTGTTTGCAACAATACGGGGCTACAGCGCATTCGGCTAGGACTGTAATAGCTACAGAGATTATTTGCCCCGAGATCTCATGCTCTTAATCGTTAAGGTTGAGTATTAATTAGCGATCCGTTTGGTTCCAAATTTGAACTATTGAAAATGAGAACATATTTTCATGAATTTCAAATGTCTTCTCGTGGGTATCTTCTTATCCCGCGTTTGTTATTATTATTATTACAAAAGCGAAATATTACACGTATGTTTTCATTGCTAAACACATAATTTTCTTAATTTTTCGAAATTTCTATCAATACTTTTTATATAAAATTTTCAGATTTTCAATTCGTTGTTTGTTATTGAGCTCGGTTTTTTAATTATAGATGAGTGATGCGGGGAAATTGTAACATGATTGGTCACAAATTTATTAAATATTCCAACGGTGAACAACTGCACAAACCTGTATTTGAAGTTTACTAAGAAATAAAGAGATCAAGTTAATCCGAACTAGTATTTTTTTAAGTTCTAGCAATTAAGTTAGATGGTCTATTTCGAATTTCGAAATCACAAATAAAACTGTATAAAGTCACTTATTTGTAAATCCGCGGTAATTTAAGTAATTGCTGATAGGGTAAAAATGTTAACATTAAACTGAATTTGGAGTTTACATTTTTCTACTACATTTTGCACTTTTTAAAAATCTTTTTAAACATATTGAAAGTATGAAGTGACTTCTTGTGTAATTTGTGTTGTCAAAATTAATAGAAAATAAGAAATCGCGGAGAAATACCACAGAAGAAAAAATATGTATGTTTTATTTTCCATTTGATGAGATACTCGTAGATATCTCATTATAATACTGAATAATCATAAAATTTTTGTTTAATGAGTTAAAACTCCTGGACAAAAATAATAACAAACATTAATTTATTGCAATAACTGATTATGATCAATGACCTGAATAATAAATAGCTTTATATTGGTACGAAATGTTACACCCTTACGCCGCCTCAGTGCGACGCCTATGGCCGTCGAGAACTCTCTGGTCTTACGCCGGCTTACCGGAAGTCTCGATTGCGGGCCGAGAAAACTCTCGATGCGGCGTTCTGGATCCATCGAGAGGCACGTATAGGTTTAAATAGAGGCCACCGTCGGCAACAGCCCAACTAGTTGAATCAAGAGCGTCCAGTGAAATTCGCCGGAATAATTTCTGTACATAATCGTTGCAATACGTAACAATATTAATTTAGAAAATAATAATGAATTTCAATATAGCATCCCTACAATAAAATAATTTTTGGGAAGATGTTGAAAAATTGTAGCAATTGCGACATCTGGTATATTTCTGCTTCTATCTTCGTCTGATACACTGCACGCAGGTAAAGACTGTTCGCACTTCTGAGCATTTCAAGGGTGGAAACGTATACCTGGGTGTCTGTGTCGGACGAAGACAGAAACATACCGTTTTTACTATACTGTATGTATAGTTTTGAAAATTTCTTTCTACCCTATAAAATTTTATTGGCAATAACGAGGCGAACAGTAGTACAATAGCAAGAGATATTTACAACTTAAATTTGTCGCGTGCCGGTAATCTCCAGATGTTAGAAAAGAAAATTACCATTATTTTATGAGTACAAGCCATAAATAAATATTTCTTACCATTGTACTACATTGTCTCGTTGTTAATAAAATTTTATAGGGTACAATGAAATTTCCAAAACTATACTATCGCACGCAAAAGTAGTGTGGGTACCCAGCAGAAAGAGATACTAGGCTTCTGCGCCTCCTTTTCGCGGGTTTCTATAATCCCATAAACACGTAAGTATATAAAATAAAGTGAACCAGAACTAAAATTTTCTGGTTTGAAGTTTTGAATTCGAAACCAGAACTTTATGAGGTAATATACATTGTGTTTCTTTGATTTGATACAACCCCTGTAACTTTTTTATTTTTAAAGATATACATAGTACATACATATAGTTCTTTAAGCAAATTTGTATCATTTTAAAAGATCACTTATGTGAATAAATGACATGAGTGTCAATTTTTCAAGCTATTATATTATCAGCAATAAATATGAATTTTTCGTCTATTTTATTGAATAACTTGTTAAGTATGATTTTAGAATATTGGTTGCTTTTGAATTTTTACAAAAAAATCAGTCTTTCCATTTATGAAAAAATATACCTAGTGTTCCATAAAAAAAGTTGGCGTCATTTCCGGTGATGTCGAAAGTGATAAAAAAATGTGAAGTTGCCATCACATAGATCTTGCAAAATGATACAAATGTGCTCAAAGAACTACAGGTTTATCCTTAAGAATAAAAAAGTTACAGGGGTTCTATCAAATAAAAGAAGCACTCTGTACGCACAATAATTATTTTTAAAACCTGAATAAATTTATTAGGGGTAGATTAGTATAAAAATTAATACAACGTTTATGCCTGTTCAATAATGATGAAACATGTTCCCAGTTATTTGACTATTTTTATGCTCTTTTTCAACTTTTATTTTCTTCGTCATTGACTTCATATTAATAATAATTTATTACACACTAGTTCTTTTCCACATATCTGTCATTATTTCGTAGTAAATTCGGGCACACTATATGCATTACTACATTATACCTGGTTGTAGCCGAAAGTTGAACAGAACCATAAAAAAAAGTCCAAGTTTATTTAGATAGACCTGTTACAAAATGTCCTTAGCTTATGCTCAGTAAGTAAAAAGTATAAATTTGTAAAACATGTGTATGATTTTCAATAAAAAAAAAATATATTACAAATTACCAGCAAAAAAATGCAATTTTATTAGGTAACTCCTCATTAGTTACATTACTAAGTTAAGGGTTAAATCTACATCTATATTTATTTTGATAAATACAGGTTGACTGCGAAATACATGCAAAAAAAAAAAATGGGGAATATGTCACAATATGATTATGTCACTGGCAAAAATTCACGGTCCTAAGTGGTAGCAGTGTCTAGAAAAAATTATTTGAAATTAAATGTAAATTGTTATACGCGCCGCTGGTAATGTTTCGTGACCTACATAATTACTGCAATGAATGGGTAGGGGACTCGGAGTAAGAACCAAAAAAGTAACTTTATCAGGCACTTTTTTAATCGCAACGTGAAAAACACGAAAAGGGCCAGTCATTATCGAGCGGTCGTTGAAATCGGTGTATGGTAGAGTTTTCCAATGCAGAGTGTGTCGATATGGTAATTTGTATTTGCGTCAGTGGTACAGCATCTCCGAGATCATGGTACCTTCAACCTCAAACTCACGATCGTGGTCGTGATGGGACAGAAAGAAGAAATTGGATTTTCGCAGCTTGTAGTGCATCCTACATTAAAAGAACACGGTCACATCCATACCATGTTGACAAAGTGCACGGTTTGGAGCCCGCTGATTGTCCACGTTGTGTAACTCACTTTTTGTCCGATGGAACTCCACGTAGTCAACAAGTACGATTTCAAGAGACTGTTTTCGATAAATGTGTATTGGTTGGATGAAACAATTCGTTTGTGGAAATCAACAGTGTCCAGAAATTATCGAAGAGCTTCAACAAGTGTAAGTGGCAGCCGCTACTTCGGTGTTTTTTTACCTATCAACAAACCTCTTGCGACGCTCTGACGCCTGTATTGCTAGTCAAGGACAACATTTTCAACATTTCTTGTAAAAAGGTAGTAGCATTCTAAGTTGCTCTTATTTATGTTCCAATAAACATTGTAAAATCGTTGTGACAAGGACCAAACATCCGTCAGAATCAAAATCACCAAAAAACTTTCACACTGACCTTTAATGATGAATGAGTAAATGAATGAACGAATGATAAGCAGCAAAAAGTCGGTTTTACTTTTAATTGAAACTGAAAGTGTTTAGGTCGTTTTTATTCGAACGTTTTTCCAACTCTGTTTACAAGGTGGCTCAGTGCCTTCGTATCGAGGGTGGTTCATGGGGGTTTTGCCCCATTCGATTTTTAATTTGTTTTTTCTATATTTCGGCTCTACTTGGGTGGGGGATGCCGTGGTTAAAATATTTGCACATATTTCGCAGTCACCCTGTACAATTAACGTTTTGAAAGTTTATTTTGGAAAGTACAAAATTAGGTTGCTTTGAAGTTCTGTACACACAGTCTTTGCGAACATCATAAATCACTGATCAGAATTCATGTGGTATTACAAATACGCAATGTTGTTTTTCTGTGCATAATGTAATATCTAAGTCCTACATTTAATTTTTCGGTCGTCTATGAGCCGCACAATTTTTTGAGGAATTTAATAATACATATATTGAAAGTTCTTTATTAAATATTTTTACTTTTACGAATATATCCCGAGTTTAATCTAGGAAAGTGTTGTAATAAGTTTCCTTTCACAAATGTGTACTGTGAAATTCGGTTTACAATAATTATGGTGTAAACAAGAAGAAGTTATATAACGTCTTGTTTTTCTAGCAGAGATTTTCAAATTAAATTTGAAAGCAACATAAAAACAGTACCAATAAAACGGCATTCTAAGAAAAAAATGGTTGAATGTTAAGCAGGGCCCTCTGGTGGACAGCTGCTACAACACTACATAATATATCTTCATCACCCGAAATCGCCCGAACTTGTGGCCGGCAACCACCCGCACAGCACAGAAATAACGATTCCACAATTTGGTATTAGAACAAGGTGTCTGGAGTTGTTTACCGCAGTTACGGATTTTTTAGGGTTATAAATGGTACAAAAAAGCTGACTTTTATTCGCGATACCTCCTGTCTCAGACAAATCAGCAAACAATTGCAACACTGTCTTAAAAAATGCTTGAACATGTCCGTTTGAAGTGGTCAAAACTTTGGTTAGCTTTATATATGCGATAAAGTAATGCACAAAATTCATAAAACGAGCAGCATTTGTTTTGAAAAATAAATAAATAAATAAATAAAAATAATAAAAAATGCCAAACATGTCAAGCCTTTCATTTTTACTATGCATCTTTTGACATATGTCAAAAAAAATATATATGTCAAATTTGTAAAAGTTATGAGGTATCAATGATTTTTATAAAGTTCAACTCATCCACGAACTATCAGAATAATTTTCTCAATTTTTTTGTTATGCAACCCCTACATGAAGCTACATTTTCATATGCAGAAAAATAAGCTTTATCAAATAATACAATCAAAATTATACCTTCCTAATAAAAAAAATCATTGATGACGTCACGACTTTTACAAATTTGACATGTAATTTTTTTTATTAAAAATTGCACACCAGACACAAATATAAATTAGGTCCTCTGGACTCAAGCTGGTTAATTCGAACTAGATTTTTTTTAAAGCGATATATCTCATATTTTTAAAATACAACTCCTGAAACCGAGATTATGTTCCCAATTTGGTTTTTTACATTTGTCATTTTTTACATTTATCAGCGACATGCTAAACTCTTTCCAAGGATGACTCGAGCACAAATTATGTTCACTGTCTGAAAAAGTCACGCAAATAAAGTTTCTTTGTTTTGTCTATACTTTAATTGAATTATCCACAAAATTCACGGTTACAGTTACACCAAAAAAACAATTGGATTGGCTAAACTACTTACAACACCACCGACTCTCTTACCTGTATGCCCTGGTGGCTGCACAAATAGAAATCAAACTCCGTCGGATGAGTAATCCCCACGTCCACCGTCGTACCCGCCGGTATGTTTCCGCTCTTCCCGCTCTGCTCCTTCTTGTCGGCGCAGAACAGCCTCGTGTGATGCCTCTTCTGCACGACGATGAAGGTAATACCCGGCTTATAGTCGCCCTCCAACTTGATGCACGCCTCACGAATGGCCGTCAACTCGTGCTGCAAAAGCTGCAAAAACTGCCCCTCGGACACGCCGTCCCTGTACAAAATGATCCGATGCGGCTTGTAGCCGCCTGTCGACTTATAGAACATGATAAGCAGCTCGCGCACCATCGAGCTCAACTCTTGTATGATCTCTTGTCGGTGCTGTTGTACGCGCACGGTAGCGGCGTACCGAGAGGGATGGGCGTCCATCGAACCGACGACTGCCGCGATCGACGGTTTCTTGTTGTCTCCGGCTGGTGGGTGAGTGACGTCGGCCCCCAGGAATATGACTGGTTCGTTAAATATCTTTGGTCTGATCGATGGCACAAGGATGCTATTGATACCTCCTAACTTAACGTTTATTTTGAGGCAGAGATTTGACAGTGTCTGTGGTGATGTTTTGTTTACATTTTTTGCTTGAACACATTGGGTGGCCATCCCTAATACTGTGTCGCCTACCCTTTTAACTTCAGCTGTTGGTTGGAAAACGAAATGAGTTATGCGAAATTCAGATAGTACAGATTTAAATGCCATTTCCTCATTATGGTGCAGATTTTTGCCACTACTATCCGATAGGCAGTATGACCTCAAGTGACTAAAATATTAGTAGGGTAACAGTAATTTGCATCCCAATAGGCATATACTATTTAAATCTGTAGTAATGTCTATACAACGAAACAAGCTATCGCATCCATATCTGAACATCCGTCCACGAGAAAAATCAAATAGTAATGGTTTATACATATATATATATTTTACAAAGATCGCAGATTTCTCTCCAAACATAAATATAGTTTTATGCAAAACTTTAAATTTTAGTAGCTATAAAATCAGTGTGAAATCCCAGAAAAGGTGAATTTATTTGTGGCAACACCATTACCTCACTTAAAGATTCATCAAACTTTCATATCTACTCTTTGTCCCAAGAAACTGTAAATGCGTAACAGAAGTAAATAGTGTCACAGTTTCATCTGGCCACTGAATCCAAAATACTCTATGGAAGTTGTAAGAAAATTGGTTTATCGAACCTTCATGCAAAAGAGATCATTTTCCACGTCTCAGAAAATTAAAAAAAAAGACCAAATATATATGAAATCAGAATAAAATAAAATTTTCAACAATGTTAAATTTACGGTACACTACAAAGTACATGCAAAATATCATATAGTCACAATGTTCCCTTGGTATTTAACCAATTCAATACTATTCTTATACCTTGTATACTCTTGCCATTTTCTAGGAAACCCATATGTTTTTCAGACACCTCTACACACCTTGAAAGTTAGTGCATTGTCGCAGTGTCTCGTAGACGAATGTAGGCATTTTCTTTCACAACATCTTTATGCCAAAAGATAATGGGAAGAGATTTCAGAACTATTTCCCAATCAACTTGATCGTGAAGTAGTGGAATTCGGATATTTTCTACAGGATGGGGCTACTGCACATCGAACGGGTGCAACATTACCTACTGCAATTTTATGATAACCTGTAATAAGTGAGCAACTGTAGTCTAGACTTCCACTTCGTTCTCCCTCAGTTTTTCAACATTTGGATATTTGCAAGACAAAATGTTAACAATAACAAAATACTTTAGAAGAATTACAAAAAAAAATGTTGCCACATCAACCAAAGTATGTTGCAGAAGATTTTTGGAAATATGAAACCACAATGATACAAACAAAAAAATCGTCTACTTCGTTAATTCGTCAGTTCGTATCCGTATTTATGTTTTAATGCGATACCTCATTTTGTTGAGCATATTTTAAAGTAGATCTCTTACCATAGACAGGTGTCTTTCCAGGCAGAACAACAACGACAAGTTGTAGTGACTGGAAAGTCGATTTCAGGTACCGGAACATCGGCTCGACTTGGTCCGGTCCTGTCGCGTATTTACAAAAACATGGTTGTCCGATTATTGGCATGCCTGCGTCGTTTGAGATTTTTTGTAGCTGCTGTGTGAAGTTTCTGAAAATATCAGGAAAACAACCGGTTAGAAAATTTTACAACACTCGTGGTAAGTGTAAGATAGTGAAAACCTTCCAATCTACTTAGTAATACCAAATTACACCTGTGCAGCACGTGTCGGAAGAATTGGAATTTCGAAAAACTAAACTAAAGTTTACACATTTGTTTCTAAAGTTACATTATCAAAATTCTTTCAAGTCGGTTGCAACGTGAACATTTTTCGTTTAGATCTACAGGTGGTACTAAAATGTAAATACTTGCCTTAAGGCGTCTTCTCTGACAGTGCGTTGAGGTGCAAAACATGCAATTGCCCATACTCTAATTTCTACACCCGTAAAAAATTGTTTTCCTCGCATATCCCATACGCCTTGATTCGGCATCGCTTGTTGTTTACTCTGAAAAAAGACCATGCGTTAACTGTGTTGTTCATTCGCTAGGATGAGGTGAGTCTACTTTGAGTCGACTTTACAAAGTTAGGGTAAATGAAAAATAATACAATGTAAAGTGTGTAAAAAAAAAAAAGAAAAATCACAGTTATCGAATGGAAAATAAATAAAACGATGTTGTAGTCAGTCACCTTAAATAACACGAATATCTTGTTTTTAGGGTACCAAATTAGTACTAATTGATGTGTATTCCTGTTGTCATGCGCAGTGGAAGAAAAAATTATATTTATGCGGGTAATCGTACAAATATTAAACCCATTTTTAAATATTCTTTAAAAAATCGTAAAGTGCTCTAAAACAAATTGGTTTACCTCTGTACGTTTAAGGTGGCTCCGCAAGGGTCGTTTTGTTTCACTGGCGTTAAATGTCTGACCGCAGTCCTCCATTAATAATTTAATATTTGCAATAAAATTTTGTACTTAATTATTACTTTCGTGTAGAAGAAAATTAATAAATTTAAATACTTCTGTACATCACACCTACCACTAAACAATTCGTCTAAAATGCTCAGATTATGTGAAAAATTCAAAACTAACTTTCATTTAAAATTCGTAACAACGTAACAACGAATAACACTGCGGCTTATGGAAGAAGGTTGGGTTGTATTAATCTTATGATTTAAATAAACAATTCGGACAATTAAAATTATCAATTTCTCCTATTCTTATACTAGGAAACCTACAAGATTTAATATGACGCTCTACAATGTTGAAAGTGTTTGATCAAAATTTCAGGACAAACGAAGTTATTTTTAAATACAACCCGTGTTTTTCCCTAGTCAAAATACACGTAGTCGGAGCCACCAAAAGGAGGAAAAATTATAGGAACACGAATATGATGTCGAGTTCGAGCTACAAGCTCAATCTCGGTGTCGGTGTCGGTGTCGAGGACAGGTCTGAACTGAGTCTGAACATAGAGCATGTAACGCCGCGCTATAGAAAGAGAGAGATAAATAAACTATTTAATAAAATGTGTTCGTTTGACTGTTCCAACGACTAAATTAGGTACAACAATTGATACCGTTTTCACACGCTTTATTACTCATTTAAGAACTGTTATTCATATCACTCATTTTTTGTTACTTTAGTCAGCAATTACACATTCACATTGTACTTTACTAATTTTTTTTTATACAATATTATTATAATAATTAATTATGTTTCTATATGATAAATAAATAAGAAAAAGTATATTTTATAATAAAGAACAATTGAGAATACATGGATATTTGCTTTAATTAACCTAATCATCATTTTGTCAAAAAATACAAATTCAGCATATTTTTGGTTTTTGTTATTTTTTAAGAGAAAATTAATGACTTCGCAGCGTATACGTGTTTAATTTATATAAATGGACATCACAGAGTCAAAACTCCATCCGTGGGTCCCTAGGTCGACGCACTCTTTTTTTTTATATATTTACCTACTGTTTTATTCAGACGTCAAATAATGATAAATACTGTGTTACTAACGTCAAGGAACTTAAATTCTTTTAAATGTTGGTAAATATTTATTGTATGGAAGGGACGTTTTAAATATTTCAAAAAATTCGAACTAATAACAGTTTCTCATACATAAACTAAAATTCTTACTGTTACTATTAATAAAATATAGATAATTGCGTACGCAATTTTCCACTCTTGACACACTTATTCATAAAACGGATCAAACTTTACACCATTAATTGCACCTTAAATTTATTGAACGCAAAACTTGAAAAAATAAATTACTTAAAAAATTCCGAAAGTTTTTTTTTATTATGCAGATATACATGCATCTTATAATATAGTTTTATTCTCCAAACCAAATACACATCCACAAGTCAAAATTAGGTCTGTCGTAGTCTTTACTAACAAAGTCAACATAAAGCCACAAATGATCACTTTCACAACATGCCCTCACGTAACGACACAGCAACATATAAAAATCGAAGTTGTAGTACATACAACTGTCAATTATCGAGGATCTAGCACGTCCATATTATAATTAACACGAACACAATTCTGCACATTCAAATGAGTAATTCCAAAATGCGGCTTTGAGAATTTCAGAATACGAAAATCACGACTAATCGTACGAACTCCAATAAGACAGAAATGTCAATGAGAAGATAAAGGAAAAAATGTAAACATCTTCAGGTGAACATTATTTTAAGGTCCATTTAAGTCATTGAGGCAATGTGAAGTCGCTGTGATGTTCAAAAACAAAAACAAAAAAGTATGATATTCATAAACCAAAAACTGCGTACAAGCTATTTCCATTTCATTTTCTTGAATATGAACATTCCACTCATTATTGAGACAGATTAAAAACGATTATTTTTAAATTACTTGCTGCTACGTATATAATTAATTATATTGATGTTTAAGTTTTTTTGTTTGACTTAATTAGACCTTTAACTTCCTGAAAAACCTCAAAAGCAATTTTGAAAATTTTGAAGCCACTCGCGTTACCCATAAAACTGGCAGAGTTCAGCCAGTTTCTACATACTAAAATAAGTAATACAACTTGAAACTAACGTGCCAGCCCACCTGTCCGCTGAGGGAAGCCACCCGACCACCGTACTGCAGTTTGGGAGGTGGAAGCACCCTCCCTCGCACTTCCATCATGTTATTACTAATGGTCAAACCGAATTCCTGGACGTAGGGGTCGTTGTTGAAGTCCGCTCTTCTCACTAGGTTGTTGATTTCACGTTCTCTGTCTGGCGCTGATCTGCAAGTTTTTACAAAAATTTTAGCTACTAGGGCGACTTTGTACTAAAATTTCAAGCAATTAAAAAAATTGCTGAAAGCTCGTCCGCATTTTAAAGGCCCAACAACACGGCAATTTATCTTGAAAATACAAACAACAACGCTGACTAATCCAAGGTAACTTGAATTATTGTCTAGCACCTGCTAAAAAACTCGTAGTGTGTTTATTTTTTCAGCACCGGATTACGTTTTATCTTGTTTATGATACGCTTATCCAATAGAGATTTTACGCTACAGACAGGAATCAACAGGTGATCTACAATGTGACCAGAATATAAAACGGTTTTTATTTTTTTGTACACCATAATGGGTGGCACGGCGCTATCATGAACAACTCCACTTTCACAATAATTTAAATATTGAAATTTCAGTTAATAAATACCGTGCTAGACATTTTTTCATTTTGAAAATACATTATTGCGTGTAATAAACACGCCATGTGTTCCAACGTGCTGTCTTTCAGAAACCACATTCCTTTACTTTGATTGACATTTCACTGAAATAAGTCACAACAACTCAGTCACACAGACCATTCTTAAGTCAGTTAATACAGTTTTACTACAATAAATACCTTGCTGTGGCTTTTATCATAGTGGATGTTTGCATGTCCGTTAGCTTCTTGATGCATCGTTGGCCAGCTACAATGTTACAAACTTCTAACGGCAAATAGGTGTGTTTGTGTTCCTGGCCAACCTGGAGGCACGGTAAATGGGGATATCGCAGTTTCATTTTGTACTTATCAAGGAAATATTTCGCCACGGTACATTCCACCGTCTGGCCGTTGTCCAGTTGAAGAGGAAAACTAAATTTCGAATAAGTTTTAGTCGGATTGAACGTCGGAAAGTAAAGATACTCACGATTGCATTTGAGCCGGTCTTCTCGTCACATTGCACACCCTGTATTTCCGCCTCATGGTGCCGCAATGCGTTATTTCGATTTTAAGTCCTTTTATTTCTTTCGTAAATTTGACACGCTGACTATCCGTCAATGGTTTTCTTTGTTCGTTGATGTCCCGAATATCTAATACTTCACACATAAACTCTATTACGGGCTGGGCCTTGTAGAAAGCCGTTGCAGATACTGTAAAAAGAGAAGTACAAAAATCAGATATCCTCAAATTTTTTAGATATATTATTACATATATATTTTTTTATTTCAATCGCACTATGTATGGGTACTTAATTTAAGATATGTATTGTCTTACATTACTGTAAAATTATTTTACATAATTTTTCAATCGTTAGCAATTAATGCTCGATTTGTATTGTTTATTTAACGATATAAATAGATAGCAAGGTAACAATGACAATGATTTCATTGCAATTAGAAAATAAATACTTCCGATGATGTAATTTTTTAACTCGGCAAATCGTATGCACATGCAACTTAAATGAAAATACGTAATAGTTTTTGCATTATTATTACTAACTACAAATTTACCTCTGTGTAGAGTCTACTTCATATCTTGAAGACACCTTAGCTGAAACATTGATAAACACAAATTCAGGAAAAAATCGATGGTGTACGTCTACAGAATACACCATCGGTTTCAACTTAATTTTTTCATAAACAAATGATTCAAGGTTAGTCAGTACTTTGCCTTATAATTTTTTCTTTTTTAACTATTTTGTCGTAGATTTCAATGATTTGAGTTTTTCATTCTACTAATTAATTCTCTAGACGTACCAAGTTTTTAACAACCACATGTACGTGGATTTTTTTAAGATATCCGTTATAAGTTATCCAAATAAACTTAAGTTTTTCGGTTATTTACTAAAGGAATTCACTAGCTTGCATGGCGAGATTCATGTACCTGTGGGGATTAGACGTCCCAAACTGGAAAATAATAACTGCCTTCTAGGAACGCATCTATTGTATTCATAGGATTAAGTTTAATTTCACTAAATATTCTTTGCATTTGTATTTACGAGGATAATTTTATGGCTTCTTCGAATTTTTGGTTTACCTCTGCTGATATCCCGTTACGTTCTCGGACAAAAACCATCCGTGTGGAATAAAATAGAAGTAATTTAGCACAAATATAACACAACAATTCCATCTATCCACGCATGACCATTTCGATGTTACAAAAAAATAATATAGCTATACAACAAATATTTAAAAAATGCAAAAGGTAATTGTTAAATAAATGTTAAAGGAGTAATTGTTCCAATCACTGGTTCAGATGGACATTATAGGGTTAGTGACGACTACAAAATCACAAGTACCGATGAAAATAAAGGGATGGTAAAAGAGAACAAAGACATGGCAAAAAATTAGGTGGAAAAACAAAATATAAATACAAGGTGTAGGTCAGTCCACTACACCGTTATCGCTGTAAATATAGTCATTTATGTTGGATTGGAGCTTATCTGTACAAGGCCGTAACGACGTAGGCTCAGTTGTTAAACTTGAATTCGTCACATTTTTTTTTTATAATTGTGAGCACTATTCAGTATCTCGGTGCCAATTGCGTTTGTCATTTTAAAACTTCAGCAGTGATAATATTAAAATGTTTGAATTAAAGTTTTGAAGATTACATATAAACATGTAATTTATGTTGCTATAAATATTTTTGATTTTATTCCATAATAGCACATAGTAAGACGTTTTGGGTAACAATGAACTTTAACTATGGTACAACGAGGCATGCCCCCTGTTGCCATTCTACCTCCATGCATGCATTACAGGTACTATTGAAATATGAATTGCTTCTATAAAACTCCTACTGTTTTTACTCATTCGTCACTTATTTTCATTAGATAAGGTTTGCAGTTTCTAAATTTATATGACAAACAAATAAAATATTTTTTATTAGACCCAACATTGCGGTGATTCTAAAAGCTCAATGTCTCAGAAAGAAATCGCATTTTTAAGGTTTTTGTATAATTACAGGGGTGGCGCTTTGTCTCTTAAACGACAAGTTCGCAAAAACTGTGTCAAGTTCTTATCGACAGGTGATTTTCAACACCCTCGACCTTTCAGGTTTTCTTTGATCTAGATTAATGAATTTTTCAGGTCTGATCGGTATTTGTACATGAGTTAACATCGAAACATCTATAAAATAGGCTCACAAAAAAACGCCAAATAGGAATTTAAAAAAATATATGTCAATAACAAAATTAAGACACTTGATGTAGGTTAACAAACATATTTAACATGAAAAGCAATTAATTTAATAAATACTTATTTTAATTTATTTAACTATAATTCACAATATTTATCTTTCCTGTAGAGTCCATGTGAGTTATCCTCATGTGAATTACTAACTACGTAAAATGGCATTTCTTTTATTTTCTTTCTTTTTATTTTCGACGTTTCTCCTTTCAGCATTAGTACTTTGGTTTTTTCAGATGTTCTCGTTCGCAAACAATCCAGTAAGTTTACTAAGAATCTTTTCTAATCTCCTGAACGAGTCATGCACATTAGTAAAACTTTCCTTTGTAGAACAAATGACAGATTGAGTAAGTTTTGCACAAAAATATTTGTGTGTATTGAAAAATGTAACCAAACTAATGCAATTTCATGAAATAATGTAAGAATATAAATACGTTGCACAATTCGTAAGATCCAATATTAACAGAAGTAAGTGACTTTGTTTTTTTCGAGTTTTTTAATTGTTTGGAATTAAACCTTGTAATGTACAAAGAAAAAAAGTGGAGTTTTAATTAAGTTTATTCAGTTTTTTAATTAATCTTTGTTTTACCAATTCTTAAAATAAATTTGAATCTGCAAATTTTATTTTTTTCATGATAACTCCGAAGTTAATGGAGGCGGATCCACAACCAGAGGTTTAGTATTACACTATTTTATAAAATTTAAATAGTATTTCCTATGTAAAATTTTTAGGTCGGGCCCTCAAATTATTAGTGGTGATAATCAGGAAAATTTTAGTTACCGTTTTACTATCAATATGATATTCCACAAATACAAATTAAACTTGATAGTTAGTTCAACAGTTTCGGAGACTTTCTCTCTAATAAAATGGACACAGACGACAGACAAACAAATGGAAACGGGAGACCTATTTTTTCGTACTTTGGGAGTCATCAAACATTGAAAAAACAAAAATTTACCCACTGAAATTCAAAAAATCTAAAGAAATTTGTGTTTTATTTTATTGGAAATATTCCAGTCAGTGTTCAATTTATTTCGATTTAAGCTGAATTTAAAAAAGCCGTATTATGTATTATATTTTCGTAATTGAAAAAAAAAAAAAAAACTTAAATCGAGACAGCCCTGCCTAATTTTTTTGCAACCACTATTGTTCATTTAGCTATAATTTAAATTTTTTATATCAAAATCTTTTTTCGATTTTGAACATATTCTAAAGATGTAGACATAATTTTGCCAGCATTAATACTCACACGACTTCGTAACTCGGCCAATGTCTGTTAAAAACTCGAGAATGCTTTTAGTCCGAATGTAACGTAAACAACTGTTATTACGAAATCCGAATTAACTTCATTCATAAAATTATCATACTCATTTGAGTTAAGTAACAATTGCACTTACTTCCTTGTATGTATCTATTCATGGACAAAAATATGGAATAATCTGAAATGGGGATTTGCGTTATCGTGCACTAACACGTATCTAAATATTTCATATTTTTGTCCACGAGTGTATAATTTTTATTGCTTAAATTGATAATAATTACTGAAATCGCCTCGTTGTGCGCAAATTCTAATAGGTAATAATGTTTTTATCCCATTCATAAATATCTAGTATAAAAATATTTTACATTACATCACTCAATTATGTTTTTATTGGTTCTACTAGAAATATTTGAACTTTTAACCAATTTTTCCTAAGAAGTCATTGTTTATTGTATAGAAAAAATATTCAACTTTTTGTTAAATCGTTTTTAAAAAGCTTCTAGAGTGCAGAAATTCTGTTTTAAGTTTGAAACAAAGGGTCATTATAACGAAAATGGACAATAGGTTATCCACTTTAAAATTCCTTTTTCTTTAACTTACAATCTGAGATATTTTTAAATTAATCTCATCTGTATTGGCTTTTCCCGTAATATGATTAGCCTTATATCACGCAGACCACCATAATATTGATAAGTAGTTTAGACTAGCACCTCCCACTAACAATGATTATATTTATGACGGAAGCGCGCATGCGCAACCAACAATGCTCTTCAATACAGTGGATAATTTCATTGAAAAGATCGTTTAAAACCATCTAAAGCGAAAATTTCTAGGATCTGGTTTACTAGTTGAGTCCATAAATTTGAATTTTTGAAAAACTATAGTTTTTTTTTTAAATCAAATTGTGGTAAAAATATCAAGTTAATTTTATTTACATATATACTTTAGTTCAAAAAACGCGATAATAAAAATAACCCACTCAAACTCTCTTCTTACCGTCAATATTCAACATCATCTTCCACTGACTCGGCCTGACGGACTGATGAAACCCGAACCACACTTCCCTTCCGCCTCCCAACGGATGATAATATCCTTCTGGACTGCTAAAGAAACTCCTCCCCACTGGAGTATAACTCATCGATGGCAAATGCCTCATGACGACATCCAGCGCCAAGATAGCCTCATACGGTATCTGCCTCGTCCTCCCTTCGAGTGCCTCTTCGAGTCCGTACAACGAAACCTGAGCTACCCATTTGATCGTCACCCTGAACAACCTGTCCTTGCCTTCGCCCGGCAGGGTGACTTCGAGCTCTTCGCGAGAGTTGCCGATCGGCAGGGGGTCTCTCGTGTAGAGGTTGTTCCTGCCGTCGAAGACGGGCTTCAGGTTCCCGAAGATCTTCCCGTAGGCGTGCACCATCGTCTCGATGATTTCGCGATTCACCTTCCTCGGACACTTGTCCGGCTGGATGCTGACGTCGTAGTGGTGGACGAAGCCACGCGGCATGGTCACTTGGAAATGGTTCGCTTTCAGACCGATGGGACGACCTTCACGACCTAGGTTGGGTCGCCGGGGACATTGGAAGACCGGTGGATCTGTCGTGGGTGGCACGGTAGCGAGGGCCGTGCTAGTCGCACCCACAACGGCCACGGCAGAGCTGGTGCTTCCGGGGGCGGACGCTGAAAATTTCAACCAATCAAATTAATTTAAACGAATCGAAATATAGTTTTTTCGCTGTTGTTACGTTACCGCACTGCGTATTCCTTCGAAACGCGTTTTTGACAGATCCACGCATCGTTTTCATTATTGGCTAGTAGAGGAAGCGATTGTAATCTGTATATTGGGTGATTCTTAGCATAGTATTGTGAAAAACTTGAGAGGCGTTTTCCCGACAACAGTAAGAATCAAAGTTCCAGAAATGCTAGTTTTCAAGTTACCGGGTGGTAAATATAAATTAAGAATTTCTATAGAAACAATAATTAAGCAATGATTATTGCTTCTTTAAAAATTCTATTTTATTATTAATCACCCTGTAACTTGAAGCTAACCATTTTTGGATTTATATTAATATTAATATGGACTTTTCTTCTATTTTCATATCAGGAACAGGTCACTCAAGTTTTTCCCACATAAAAGGAATCACCCTGTATATAAATTAGTGACTGTTAAATGCCCTTCTGTAGAGAAAACATTATGTAAACGATAAAAGTAGAATAAACAAGTTATGCCGGCTGTCCCAAATTTGTTTCTCAGATTACAGCTCCCTTAGCATACAGTTGAAATACTGGTACGTTGTGGTGTATAGGTTATGTTCAATAAAAACAATAAAAAGTTGAGTTATCAAAAGTGTGGCGGCCATTATCGCCCAAATACCACAAGAACTCATCTTAAATCTCAAATGAAAACAGAGAAGTATTTTTCACATGGTATATTTCTTGAAAAAAAAAAAAAATCTGAAAATTCATACAGTATTTTAATTAATAATCACTCCTAAAAAATCTAAATCTCCTGGATCTCAAGTTATCAATCTCAACTTTTTTTCTTATGGTACATTTTCACATGTTAAACAGACGAACTATATATACTATAATTCTGGGTAACTTGAAACTAGTAGGCTCAGAAACTTTTCGCGACAGATAATTAACAGCCAATAACGCCACTTTTTTCTAATTTGGCTTTTACGCTTTCCAATATCATAACAGTGAGACAATAAAAAATTACCAGCCTGTATATATAACACCGAGTTATTTTTAAATTTCTGCTCCAGTTACCCACGACGCTTACGTCAGCGGCGAAATTGAAACTGCTGACATAAGCGTCATAGTAAACTAGAGCAGAAATTTAAAAAATCACCCGATATATTCTAAATGCTATTTAGTATATAACTAAACACGCGATACTTCCTCGCTATAATTAATTTATTAGAGTTAGAAAAACTGTTAAAGGGTAAGGTTGTAAATACAGTTCTTTGTGTACAGAGTGTTCTGTTTGTGAATCATAACATTCAACTTGATCTGGTTGGCCTCTCCTTAGACCCACAACCATAGAGATAAACTAAGGTAGAGTTTGCGAAATACGGTTATGGGTTAATAGTACAGTGCTCCAACGAAAATCGTGGTTTTATTTTGTCTTCTCCAAACCTCGTATTTGTGAACAAAGAGCATCTTAAACTATTCCTGCCACAACAAAGTGCCGCCGTGAAAGTTTGGGACGGTCTCACAAATTAGTAACAAAGGGTCGCAACGAATTTGGGACGGTGTCATAAATTTGCATCTAATGACCCGTATTCCTTTACAAATTTGCAAAACCACAGTTCGTCACAGGGGGTGCAATAAATCTACTTGGGACTATATAGAATCTTCAAATGTCGATATTTCAATTTTCTCAAAAACAATAATCTGTATTTTATTATCATATCTTACTTTGTTGTTTACTCTTTTCATATATTAATGTGTGCTTAAAAGAGTAAAAATTGCAAAAACTAAACTAAACAAAAGTCGAAAGGGAATAAAAAATACAGTAAGGTGCAATAATAAAATACAGGATGTTCCATTTGAAAAAACTGAAAGATTGATATTTGAAGAATATAATTCTTACAACAACGCGCATATAATTTAAGAAATGAAAAAAATAGCTTATAAAATTTTATTGCCAATAACGATATTGACAGTAGTACGATTTTATATAAAAAAAATAAACCTGGACAAATGCCAGTGACATGAACGTCTTATTCTCACTGCTTTTCATTGATCTATGAGAACCTGATTTTCTCATCTTATCCTTTTTTTTTTAATAAACTAGTACAATGGTAAAAAATATATTTATGGTTCATACTAGTTCACCGGCACACGGTCGGATTTGCGCTAGTCTTAAACTTAAAATTGAAAAATAATTAAAATAGCCACTGAATAATTGAATAATGATTCATCTGACATTTTTTGACCCCTTGCATAAATTTCAATAAAAATGGAATAACATGATCACGTCGCATCAGAATTTCACAAGTAAACTGTGGTTATAAAGCCTAAAAATACATCAGAGTATATATATTTATAAAAATATATAAGATGCTCAATTAAAAAAAAAAAAAAAAACTAGCTTGTTGTTGGTTCCTATGCCTCAAAAACAAAACACTCTGTACAGAATAAATTTAATGAATGCTACCCTGCGTAGAAGTTTTTAAACTCATATAAAAAAACATCTGCAACATATTTTTGATGTTACGTGATTCTTACATGAGCACAGCATAATACAGTTATGCTTGGGACCTATCAGCGTGACATAAAACAAGATAAAAGAGCTTGCCACATGAAGGTAACTTTTCCGGGATGGAAACGTGAACGAAACTCAACATAAATCGAAAATAAAATTTGAATTACCATTATTGCTAACCGAATTGGAAAGTTTTTTTTTTTTTGAAACCCGAAATAGCTACTTTGATTCTACAAGTAAAGTTGGAAAATTCTGTGCAATAAAACAGAAACATTTTTTTTACAGTAACTGTAACATTTTTTGTAAAAAGCTCCTTTATATTCTTTAAATAAACAATCAATTAACAATGTAGTCCGCTACTGTTTGTGTTTAAGAATCGAGGAGTATTTTAAAAACGAAGGAAGTATTTTTCAATCGATTTTCAATAGCTTTCCTTTTCACAAATGAAATGGGATCTAGTAAATTCTTAGGGCACACTTTGCTGATCTTTGTCAACATCCACTGAGCCCTTACCCTACGAAGAATCCCACCTTTGGTCCATGAGATAATCAATATATTTTCAGAACGAAATATCTCCCATTATTAACACACCTAGTATAGTAGTCCAACTCTGACTTCGTTTTTATGGCACTGCAATCTCAATTACCGCAAGTATTACTGCCCATTCACAATGGACATAAGGCATAACAAGTACATAAAGCTTACATAAATACGTAAAGTTGAAACGATGGAAAACGTGTACCCCTGTTCACAGTGGACGAACGTAATTCTTATGCTTATGAACGTTTTATGTAATCCTTGTGTGCGTACACAAAGTTGAAATAAGTTCAACTTTGTGCACGAATTATGTCAAAATTATGTTAAAATCTAGGGACTTTTGAATGCTGCTATTGAATTCCCTTTGACAGTTGGCACTTGGCACTTCACACCTTTGATTATATTATATAAATTATAATCAAAGCTTCACACTGCAAGTCTGTTCTGTACTGCGAGTTGTCCAGTTCGAATATCGTATGAAATTGTAGGTTAGATATTTTTTTGACTCAGTTTGAGGTTAGCCGTTTCTGTGTTTAGCCGGGAGTTATTCCGTTCTGCGTTTGCGCAGTTTAACAATTCTTACAGAGTTCACTCTGTCCACTGTGAACGTAGATAAGCATAAGCCAGACACAAACCAAAAACGTAAATTATGTTATGCGCTCGTTCTTATGTCTTATGTCCATTGTGAATGGGCAGTTAGGAACAAGATTGAAAATGTAACTAGCCGTACCATAACTCATCTTAAAGGTTTACGGGCGCATACGGCCCTGTGTAGTGTAGACGGTTGGTCCCTTGATGGTTTATGATGGCTGAATTACTTACGGCAGAGGCCTATTGTGAACACTTAACTCCTTCACAATAGGATACACTCATAAAAACGAACCAGCAGTTGGAGCACTATACTATAAAATTTTAAAAATAAATAGTTTATCATCTTCTTTTAGCATTTTGATGAAATTTTTCTTCACGTATCTTTAAAAACCAATATCTATATTCTTTATGGAAATTTCGTAACGCACTTTTTGCCACGGTTTTCAGCTTACACCTTACGTTAAAGTACGACGAAAGATATTTGCAAACGCCGTCAATTACTTTATGAGGGATCTTTAGTACTTTAGACCGCAACCTGTAATACAACCATTACGAACCCTTCGCAAAAGAGGTACGACTTCAGCCAGAGCCGGACTTCAAATTTTGGAGCGTTCATATATGAATCATGGTAGAGTTAATTTTTATTGGGATTTTTCTGGGAAATATGTATTTGTAGGTAAGCAGAGAAAAATGTTGTGCCTCGGTGGGATTCGAACTCACGTCTCCTTGCATTCCGGGCAGGTATGCTGACCACTACACCACAAGACAACTTATCTTTACTCTGCTTACCCATGTGTTATTGTGCCGCCACATATTTTTGCAAAGATTTAAAAAGTTTTAAGAACCACACTTTCATGTGTCCTTAAATTTTAAAGTTAAATTCCTTGAAAGTGGTCCGTTTAACAATCTACCTGTTCACGTATTGAAAAAAATACGGTCCTGGAAAGGTAAGGGTGGGGAGTAATCTTGATTAACAGTTTTATGCTGGGTGCATTTTCCGAAGTGGTCGCAAATTTTACAGCTACAATTCCCATAATTGATGTCATTTGCAAATACCTTTTGTCGTACAATACCCCAGCAACATAGTTGATTTTTTTGTCGGAAATGAGATACCCTAAAATGCTTGTGTCGACGAAGCTTCTTTTGCTGTATCTCATTTTCAACAAAAGAAATCGATAATGTTTTCCATATAACGTATAAGCTAAAAACAGTGGTGAAAACCACGTTCCGAAATTTCCATAAATAACTCAAATAATGAATTTTTAAAATACATGATAAAAATTTCAGTAAAACTTAAAAAGAAAGTTGACGAAATACTGTTTAAAAAAAAACTGCCGCTGTGTTCCATAGAGTAACTTGGGGACAATTTATATTTAAAATTTCATAGCAATCAAGTCTGTTTATAACGGACGTATTACACACTGAAACAATCATTTGGAAAACTGTAATCAGTAACCACGTACGGAAACGTATCTATTTTTGCGATCTTTTTCCGAAAGTAAAAAAATTATGAAATAATGCAGCCAGAATAATTGGACATAATTTTTCATGTATGTGACGTTGTGAATTGTATTTAACGTGTGTCGATTCTTCGTTCCCTTTTAGCGTTTTTACGTTAATCAAAAAGTAAAGCCAACTCTTATTACCGATTTCTTTTTCGTCGCAAATGTTTAATTTCAGTTGACAGTGATCATAAATAGTGTTTCACTGAAAAAACAAAACAAGACAGTGAAATTGAAATGATAATTAACGACATGTCTCTACTTTTTTTCATGAAAATGGAAGTTAAATGAGGCATCATCAAAAACCAACCCAACCTGACTCATCCTCAAGACCAAGCTCCGCCAGGACGCTCCTGACAATCTCCGGTAGTGCAAACACCATCGTTTCACTCGAATTGATAGAACGTAAGACGAGAAAAAAAACACGATTATGACACGAACACAAGAACGATCACAAACATGAAATGGGGCCAAAATAACTGCGAGGTGCATATGAGTGGTATTTTACCTCAAAAAACTACTACAAAAACGGAAAAGATATCTTGTCTAAAAACCCGATGGACTTTTTGTGTTACCATTCTTGTTCCCGAATGAATAATTTTATGTAATATTATAACTTAAGACGGAACAAAATAAAATCAACACGTGCTTTGGACACAAGGGTAACTGTCAAAATTTACGATAAATTAAAATTTGTATTTTGCGAAAATATTCGACACAAAGTTAAAAAAACGTCCAACTCTTAGTTGCCTTACAAGTAACAAAGCAAATGATTATACGAACGACGATAATATGAAATATAGATCCTCCCGACACTCGAGATTAAACTAAGATACTCAAAAATAGATCACATTATCCTTATCAAAGATAAATTTTCAGATCTCACGAAGATAATAATTTCTCCAACCTGTAGATAACACATTAAACAAAAATAACAGCTAGGTGGGCGGAGAGAACGGTTTACATTGTACAAATTCATTTAAGAAAATAAGATTTCTATACACATGTTACATATTGATAAAACATACTTCTGACATTTTTTATCTCTACATAGTACTTATCCCATTGTTATGAGATACACAACCCAACAAGAATTTCAACGATACCATAACGGGTTTGTTTATTAGTAAAATAAAGAAAATATAAAAGAAAGCAGAATTAAAATGAAAACCCGCACTACGAAGGCCAATATAATGTTGAAATAAAATAAAATGTAATTTTAGTTATTTTACCTGACAGTGGATCTGTGAATGTGGTTTGTGGTGGAGGACTAGCACTTTGACGAGGCGGGCTGGTCTGCCACGACTCTGAAAAAAAGCTTTGCTTACGAAAAATAAACAGTACTAAATGTAAAACTATTTAAATAAACAAACAAAAAAAGGTACGACACCAAAACTGGCAACAGAAACAAAGAAAACTCGAAAACCAAACGAACCTAACTGGACGAACGACATATTTCACCGGTAAAATAAAAATTTAAATCAAAACTCGGTTTATGGATGAAGAACACCCGGATACAAATGAACCGAACTGCCGAAGAAGTCAAACACAACTAATAGTCAGCTGGAAGGTCTTCTAGACGGGATAATTACTGTCGGAGGGGGGTGGTTTTATTGGTGTTTACGAGGGATGCAGGTACAAAACCTGTCTATAGTAGAAATATTTCCCCCACCACTAAAAGTTACGAAGTTAACTCGGAATTTTCTTTTGGAATATAATAATAGAAAGTAAGAAGTTCTAAATCAGATATTTACTATTACAAACTGAAATGGTACAAAAGAACTGCAAACTATCTTATATTTTAATCCGTTCCGAATTCTTTTTATACTTACACAGTGGCTACCGATCGACTTTTTTGTCAAAATTAATTCATCAATTTTTGAAAAATAAATTATTTGTAGAAGTATTTTTGGTAATTTTAAAGTCACTTTTGCAGTGACTCCTTAATTTCCTCCTCGAACATGAAAGACTCCACTGACTGTTACAAAAATTAAAGGACTTTCACAAATATGTCGTGAATGTAAAAAGATTCATGCGAAAGACTTATTTCTGGCAATTTGGAAATAAAGGAATCCTCACAGGCGCCACAAATTCCTTAGTACGTTGTTAAATTTAGTGCCGATTACACAAATCAAAATAAATTCTGTCGAAGAATACAGAAACAGTTCAAAACAATGTTCAAACAACATATTAACGAAACAACAAACACTCAACAAGCGTTTTATAACAACATTAACACTTTGAACTATGCACTTAAATTAACTGTAATTAGTGAACGTGTAATTTTTTACTTATCCAAAGTACAAGCATCAAGTTAAGATCAAAAATATAATACAAACTCTAGATACAATTTTGGATGCAAAATTTTCTTAAACGTTTTTTGTGTGCAAGCAAAACAACAAATACATATAAGATTTAATTATGGATTATGTATGGAAAGACAATACTACACAGACACGTAATTTACATAGGTTATTTTGAATCCTTCTGACGAATGTGCGAATCAAATACATACTTTCTCTACACACAACACAATTTGCAAATAAAGTCATTGCAATACAGCTTAAAACTTTCAAGGTTAGTAAAATTTCGATGCTGTAACACATTCTCAAAAATCGCATTATTGAGAAAATCTATTTTAAATGTGTAAAAACGTCAAGATTTATCAAAAAATTCCATTAATTCAAAGCATCAAAGCCCTCTTGAACCTCTTAAGCAGAACTTCCATTGAGAACGGAACGGATGCGCTAGAATTGTATATATACGAACAAAGAGATCAGCAGGAGTGAAGCCGATCCATAAATTGCGGTAAGCGATTAGTACCTTACCGCTGGGGTCGCGATAGTGTAGATTAGGTACAACCTAAGGTGAACCAAGATTCCTGTGCGGAATCTGCCTCAGGCATCCATTGACTTTCACTAGTTTTTAAGAGGGCTTAACTAAAGACCCTTGCCGCAGTCCAGATGGCTGGGAGAGGGTTTGTCGAGATGGACGGTAATAAAAATTTTAGTACGCGAAAAGGTTGGTTTCTTTAGTTCTCAGGGCTCCTGATTAGAAACTCAGCCGGAAATAATAGAATAATGTACCTGGGAAAAGTACCGACATCGGCTACAGACACTATCTGATGATATAATTTATTACTTTTAACTTACTCTTTAATTATCGCTAATGCTTATTTAAAAAATTAAATTTCCCGAAAATGGAAATTGACATACAATCTTCTCAAGAATAAAAAAATAGTGGACAACGGTAGTGCTAATTTGTGCATTTTAATAATTATTATCTACATGCTCCGAGTTCTGATTGATTCCAAAATTTTGGATGGACCCACCACATTGTACTTTTGCGGTGTTATCACGTTGTACCTCATGATTTGTATTTAAGAAGAGTGGAACGATTTCTAAAAAAGTATAAACGCAAATGATCTCCGAGTAGAAATTAAAGGATGATCAGGTGGTCATAAGTATAAACCTCATGTGGTGGGCGATCACTCAATTTATTTATGTGTACCTTCGCAGGTACAAAATATGCTAAAAGGATTAAAAGATTATTGGTCCCGTTTCAACCATTCACGTTCGATCCCAACCTATCCGTTCCGATTTTAATCGACGTCCTGCTTTAGAATTATAGGAACTGTAATTGATAACTCTTCATTAAGACAACCTTTAACCCAAACTACCCAACCACGTTCTAAATCTGACAGTTGTCATTCCACACAGACGAGGTTTGTAAGTGTTTGATATAATTGTCATTACCCAAATAAAATCGTAAGTCGCTGACGTCTGTACCAGACTACTTCAAAAACAGATTACAAGTGAACTTCAACTTCCACGGGAGCATTGTAATTCAAGATTTCGCAGTAAAAAGTTTTCAATGTTGAAACTTATCTCTCCGTATGTTAAAGGTATGCTGCTAAAGCTATATGGACTGAAAGCAACTTCCAAACACGTTCGATTTCCATATCAACTTCTTTATTAAAGTACTTCAACTCCCTTACAACAGAAGCCCAAGAAATGACGCTTCAACCAAATCTGAATATTTCACTTATTGATGTGGTAAAAACTACTTTTAATGTCATGTTGAATAGCACACAATATAAATATATGAAACACGTTGGTTTTTAACTTGTTATTATAATACACCCAATATTTTTTCAACAAAAGAAAACTTATTTACTTGATATATTGTCAAAATTAATTACTAACATATCAACAAATATCTAGTCAATATGACATTAGTCTTATCTGTAATAAAATATCACATACCCATGTGCACCTAATAAGAAGTTATCAGTCAAACAAAATTTTAAACAACTGGTTTATTTTTTGTCACAGGTAACTATAAACAACAGTTAGTTTTATCATATATGTACATTCTTAATAAACCTGTTTTACAACCTGATCTTTTATATGACAAATTTTGGCACAATAGTCTGTCTTGCAACATTTTATATTAGTTTTTCGATCTGCTAAAATTTTCAACGCCAAAATTATTTATAAAAGTAGATTTTATAAACATTCAACTATTTTTGTCGGCTGTAGCAGAAAATCTTTTGAACGGTGTAAAGAAAATCAGCTGGGAACGTCTTCGACTCCGTACTCACGCACTATTCAATCTGTTATTTAATTGTAAAGGTAGTTACACGACACGAAACAGATTTGCTTTACTTTTCAAAACTACAATTTTAGTGTAGAAAAAATCAACTACGTGAAATATTTCTTACCAGATTCGTTTAATTACTTTGTATAAAAATTCAGAACATACTAAATGAGGTAAATAAATTCTAAATTTCATTAAATTAATGCAGTTTTTATTCTACGCAGTACGGAGGAATAGAAATCCAAAGAAAACAATAAAAAACATTTAATGGAAGGTAAACATATTTTGCATTTTTTATTCACACAGAACTGCCTTCACCGCAACAAACGCCGCCTGTATACAGCTTTTTTTTTAATTAATTGTATAATTTTTGAGACGACCTTCTCAATGTATTGGTAAAGATAAGAATATTTACTTTGACACATGCACTGTACCACAGGTAATCAAGTTATTGCTTTCCCAGCTTTTCTCGGAAATTAGATGAAGCGCTTCTGAAATAATCGTTAAAACGAGCACTGCATCTCAGTGCCTATTTTTATAATAAAGATTTAATTAATGATTTGTTGAAATGACGTCAACAAATATCTGGAGGGGAGACAAAATAAATTTTAAATCTGTAATTAATAATACTAAGCAAATTGTTACACCGAAAGTAAAGTGTTACACCTTCAATGAAATTTAAAATATTTTGAGAACACAATTTTTCGGGCATTTAGTTTTTAAATAGTAATGTTGGCATCCCACTATTTGACAATGTTTCACCGTAACTGTCAAACCGAACAAAGAACGCGTTGTTGCCAACATAATTTTATTAACATTAAATTTCAACGGTCGCTAGACGACTTTTTTTCTCGACCATATGGTTTATCATTCAAACAAGTGAACAATTAATTTCCAAGAGTAAAAAGTTTTGCTATTAGAAGACCTTTCGACAGTGACTTTCACGGTGTTCGTAAAAGCGGCGATTTGGTGGAGGTGCACTAATTTACCCACAAAATGTCATCCACTTTTTGTTAGAAAGTGGTTAAAGTTTCGTTACGGCAGTGACATGTGGTCGTCCATCCCCCACCGTAGAATCCACCTCCCTCTTCGAAAAAACCGCCTCGTAAACGCGTGTATTAGTGTAATCATTCAGCAGCTGTTTTACGCACGAATGACAAACAAAATAAAAATTCAAATATTTATAAATTTAAATATTTATGCATTGGCATTACACACTAAATTTTATAATACCTTCAACATTGAGAAAACGATGCAAATGAACGATGTTTCGAGAATCCGAAATATTCGACACACCCTGTATAAATTATCGTTCGTCAAACAAAGAATTTGGAAACCGATGTTTTCTATGTAACATCCGAGACCTAGAACAAACATGACCGCGCCGTGCCAAAAAATGGAACTCCACTCCCAAAAAATGTTTGAACGTCTTCGTCGATAACACCGTGGTGCTTGTATAATCTAGATAACGATGATAACTTAATTGCTTTCGGGCTAACAATAGACCTGAATCAACCCTGGCGTCGGTTGTAACCAGTACAGGACCGGACTAAATCAATAAGGCCAGTCGAGTCGAGACCCAGACTTAGGGTCAACGAACGAAAATGCACTTGACGTCGGCCGTCGATGCATCGATTATTACGAAATAACGATTTTTTGCAAGGGAGAAATGGGCCGGACTTGGACAGCGAAACGTCAAAAAACCGCT